AAATATTGCCAGGGCCTGTACCATCCTCACAGTTATGGAGAGAGGATACAACCCAGACACACACTCTTCCTGATTTTAAACCATGCAGTATTCCCTGGTTCTGTTCATACAACTGCCTTTTAACGTATGTTCAAGTTCCTCATGAGCACAATGAAGTATTCTGGAATTCCCATTCTTCTTAAGGTTGTCCACAGTTTATTATGGTCCACAGAGTTGAATGCCTTTGCAAAGTCATTGAAACACTAGTAGACATCTTTCTGGTATTCACTGCTTTGAGCCAAGATCGATCTGACATCACCAGTGATATTCCTTGTTCCACATCCTCTTCTGAATCCAGCCTGAACCTCTGGCAGCTCCTGGCTATTGTACTGCTGCCACTGTTGTTAGATGATTGTAAGGAAAATCTTACTTGAGTGTGATATCCATGATATCGTTCTATAGTTTGAGTGTTCTGTTGCATTACCTTTCTTTGGAATGTGCATAAATATGCACCTCTTCCAGTGAGTTGGCCAAGTAGCTGTGTTCCACTTTCCTTGCACAGGTGTGTGAGTGCTTCTAGTGCTTCTTCGGCTTGCTAAAACATTTGTATTGGTAGTCCCTCAATTCCTGCGCCTTGCTTTTGATTAATGCATTTGGTGCAGTTTGAACTTCTTCCTTACGCACCATTGGTTCTTGCTCATATGCTAGCTCCTGAAATGGAGGAATGTCAACTAGTTCTTTTTGGTACAGTGATTTTTTCCATTTTCTCTGTATTTTTCCCCATAATGCTTCTTGCATCATTCTATATTGCCTATAGAATCTTATAAATTGCAATTTGAGGCCTGAATGTTTTTTGAGTTCTTTCAGTTTCAGATATGCTGAGCTGTGTTCTTCCGTTTGGATTTCTTACTCTAGCTGCTTGCACTTTTCATTATATTTGGCTTTGTCTTCTGGAACTTTAAAGTTTTCTATTGAGCTCCTTGACTTCATCCATTCGTCCACTTCCTTTAGTAACTCTATGATGTAGAGCAAACTTTAGAGTCTCTTCTGACATCCACTTTGATCTTTTTTTGGGGGGGGGCGGGTGGAATCATGCAAATGAGTTGTGCGGGACCCTAACAAGGAGGTCAGTCAGCTTTGTCATCCCATTTGGTTTGAAACGAGTCAACTCAGGTGCAAAGAACCTCATGACCTGTGAAAAAGAAGAGCCAGGAGAGGAGAATGACCTGTTTCTGGTGCCGATCCTGAGAAGCTGAGACCTGGGCCACAGACAGAGCAAGAGTGGATGGGAAGTAACAGAGAAATTACAGGACTAGGAGGAGACAAAGTGGTGGCTTCCTGGTTTGAGAAGCCAAACTGCTGAGTGCCTTCAGAAAAGTAGACTTGACGTCAGAGTGAAGTGCCTCTGGGCACTATCAGTCAGAACTAGGATTGCAATCTTAGGGAGCTAGCGTGGAGTTCCTTAGGGCAAGGAGGTGCTTTATCAATGGGTATAGATAAAAGGTGTTTCGCAAACCTCAGGGGAAGGTGCGGCAAGCAGGGACATGCCTGTGTGTGCTGCTGAGAGAAGGCTGCCCATTGGAGAACTATATCTGGAGCAACTATGGAGCCTCGATTGTAACCTGTTGCTTCCCCCCAGTAAACCCTTAATGATACTGTCTGTGAGTCCATGTGTCCTCTTGCAATGGATTACCAAATCCAGCAGAGTTAGAATGCTGTGGGAAGGCCAGTTGTTAAGCAAAGGGTGCGGGGTGGAGGCCTGCCTAGCTCTGCCTCACAGGAATAATCAATCACCCTTGAGTGGCTGATGCTGCATCTCTGTTCTCTCCACCATTGTGAAGTTAGAGATGACCAGATGCTGCCTCCATGCCATTTTAACAGAGGGAGAACCCTAATGGAAAGGTCATGTGAAGGTTAGGGCACACAACCAGTTATTACAATTGCTGAATTGACAAAAGTTGTGTGATGTATTTACAATAACCAAACAATTAGTAGCTGCTGAAGATGCTTATACACAACCTCAAAGCTCACAGCTCCCTTGGTTTTGAAGCTTAGCGTCATGGTTTCAGGGGCCATTCTACTTAATTGGCCGGGCTTCATGTTTCTGTTCTTTCTCCTAGTTGCAATTATGCAGTGTCTGGGGTCTTAAAGGCATAATCGGTCTCTATTCACCTGGGACACCAGAGGACAGAGTCAAGGCACAGGCTGATTGCCTCCATGAACATCTGCCTCCTTTGCCATGAAACCAGAACTGGATGGTGCCAAGCTACTATTATTAAGCGTTTATTTTGATCAAGCAGTCCATAAAAGAATCCTGATCAAAAAGGTATGAAATTCAGAATGAAATGAAAATTCTCCAGGGCTCCAGACTCCCTGGACCCATGAAGATTGGAGGAACTCCTAAAGTTATCTTAAAATCCAAAATAGTCTTGCTTAACTCTTAAAAAAAAAAAAAAAAAAAGCATTATGCTCTTTTAAGATCTCTATGGAAAAAAAGTTACCCCTATGGGGTGAAACTAATAATAAAACCCAACTCACTTCCATCCATCCAGTCAATGCTGACTCACAGCAACCCTATAGAACAGGGTCGAACTGCCCCTGTGAGTTACCCTGCTCTTTACAGGAGCAGAAAGCCTTGTCTTTCTCCTGAGGAGCAGCTGGTAGTTTTGAACTGCAGGCCTTGAGGATCATAGCCCAAGTAACCATTACAACACCAGAGCTTCCTATACAACTGATAATAGCAACTAGAAAGATGGAAGGAAGCCTTAGGGGCCAGTGAATTTGCTAACAGGAAGAAAGCTCGGGAAGGGTGAGAAGGGTTGCACAACTGGACGAATGCATTCAGTGTCACTAAGTGGGACACGTAGAAATTATTGATTTATATTTTGTTGTGTATATTCCCCACACATTTGTAAAAATCATTGAAAACGCTAAGAATGCAGAAAACAGAGAAGCTGCTCAGCCCCATCCTTCACACCTCTGCCATCCACCTTGCTTCCTCCTTGGAGAGGATTCTTCCTTGTGCTAGCCACGGCAGATCCCACTGTCTACACTTGTGATCTCATCTTTCTCTTTTGTATTCTCCAATCATCATACACTTTCCTGCCCTTCAATTGCTGCCCGCATATGGCCTTTCTCTTCTTCACCTGTAATCATGTTCTAGGGCTTCCCATGCTAAAAGAAATGTTTAAACACTCTTTACACATTTCTAACACATATTCCTTTCTTCTATCTATAATTATTACTCAATTCTGCACACATCATATGGTGATTTTCTCATTTTATCATGTACCTTATTGCATGACACGATTTCAAGGCTCTTGAAGAATACCTGTATGCATCTGTGGACAATATAAGACACACACTGTCATTCATCAACATTTTCTACCAGTATCTATTGTTCCCAGGTAATATAGCTAATGTAGAATACATCTTTAAAGATCTTTTTCAACTGGACAGGATCGAATACATATATTTCTACTGGAAAGAGAGATTAAAGATGATCTAGGTCAAAGGCTAGAACCTCCAAAAAGCTTTGAAGAAAGGCAAATTTGTAAACACATTCACAAAAGACAGCCACAAATGTAAAAAAAAGTGCTTTTTACTTTTCAACCAAAAGAGTAAGTTGACAAACAGTTTTTTTACTGGTATAGTCATAATAATGTCTTACTATACGCCCTAAAGCAACATGATTATTTAATCAAAGTTAAGATGGCAGGACAGATGTAATTTGTGTCAAGTTTAAAAGGGAAGTCAACAGTTCTTTAAAATACATCTGAAAAATTACCCATTGATAATACTCTCTGAAAATGTAAATAGAATAACTTAATTTTACTATAATTTTGAAATTAAAGTACATGCTCCTAAGGTATCAAGCGGCAACTCAAAAGTAAACAGAAGAAATGTAAACAGTTATATCAGCATCAACATTTATGAGTGCAGTTTAGAGCCAGGCTATTCAAACTACGGCCGGCCCGGGCAGCCAGTCCAAAATGCAAGCAGCAGCACGTGCCAGCGTGGAAATTAGCCCCCAAGGAACCGCACCGGCTCAGCTGACCTTCTCCACGACAAGACCTTCTTGGTAAAGGAAGCAGTGTGCTGGTTTTGATTCTGACGCAGTGCCTTAATCGGCTTGTCACGGACTGCAGAACAGGGGCTGCTTCTCTCTCTGAAGTGGCATTGTAAGTTTACTGCTTAAGTAAAGTTAGGTTAAAACTGCACAGTGGGGGACAAATTTAAAATGGCAATTACAATGATCACCTATGCATTATCGGTGTTCTAATTCTATCCAGGGATCTAATAAAAAAATCAAATTAAACTTTATAAAATTCCCACAATTTAACATTAACCTGCAGCTAAGTTTAAACATTCTTGACAAATATTAAGTTAAGAGGGGCTCTCTAGGTATACCTTTTATTGTTTCCAACCTTGAGAGAAAAAAATATAAAGGAAGTGATTTATTTGTAAATAAATTCTCCTTAAAGGATGGTTGAATTTATTTTCACATTTCAACTTTAGGAAAAAACCAGGCTGTGTAACCTTTGTGCAACACTAGATACCAGTGTTTTTTTTTTTCTATAAAACCTTATGTAAAAAAAAAAAAAAAACGGTACAGAATTTTGGGAATGATGAGGGCAACAAATGCATAGGTGTGCTTTACACAATTGATCTATGTATGTATTGTGATGAATTGTATGAGCCCCAATAAAATGATTAAATAAAAAAACGGTATAAAAATTTACAGAGTGCACATTCAATCATTTATAGGGGAGAAACATGTAAATTGTTTTTTGATTCTGCAGAGAAAAATAAAGCTGATACAGCATTTCTTAAAGAAATGGTGTAACATCCAAGTGAAGCTCTCTTCTGATGTCAGTGTGAGTGTGAGCATTCCCCAGGATTCTCACAGTGCAGTGTGATCTCTTGGAACATGGCCATTGTCTCATGTTCCAATGACTGACATGGTCTAAGCTTAATACTGAAGGCAAGTAAGTGGACAATTGACAACTTAGAAACAACAGTTTAAAATATAAGTGCCTTAAATTGCTTCTGCAATGGCTAGTTTATTGGACAAAAAAAACTGCTTCTTAAAGCTTTAAGTGCATATTTACATGTGATAACGAGAGTGTTCTTTGGCACCTGAGTTTAGCACAACATAATAGAGCAAAGAATCTCTATGAGAAAAATGTTTAAAGACTATATTGAATCTACTATACAAATTTACATAAATCTATACATATATACACACTTATGCACACACATAAAAGTAATATACTAAAAAATATTAAAGATATTTACCATTTGGCCAGATAAATTTACTTGATGGCTAATAAAAGTTCAGTTTATTTATTTTTTTCCTTCTGTTTAAAGAATTTGAGGTTTAATCAAAATTTCAAAAAGTTAAAGGTTTTAAAGTAATCTATGGGAAGATGAAGGTATTTTTAAATCAAAATAGTTTTTGATACAGTACATGGTTATGAGGCCACAATGATCTTGATAGGATTTAACCGGCTCTGTGATAGTCACCAGGTAGAAATACATCAAAGATTCCCCAAGGGTAAATTGCCCACCCATCAGCACTGAACCACTGATCAAAGTCTCTGCTCTTTTGAATTGGCCTGAGTAAAAGACCATATTTACAGGCTACTCTGAAAATGGCCTTCTGCTAATGTGCTCAGTACTCACTGGGAATTTTACCCAAGGGTTCTAGAACAGCTTGATGTCTCCATGCTGAATAATCACACCAGCCTTGCTGCTGCTGATCAACCCTGTTTGCAGCCCTCCTGGTGCTGTGTGGTATTGTTTATGCACACTTCTAAAGTTCTGACTAGTTTATATTCTAAAACTTTGAGGACATAAAAATTCGGAATGCTAAGTCTGTCAACATGTTCGTTTAATAATAACAATAATATTGACATTAATATTCAATTAATAAAAATGCATGGATGACTGAAAGTAGAGTACATTTAGCTTTGCCAAAGTTTCCCTCTCTAAAAGTCATTTGGAATTTGGAAAGTCTATTTGTCACCTTCCATAACTAATGAGATCCAAAGTATGCTGAGAGTGGGGAAAAGACATTGGGGTTTGAAATTGAGAACATGCTACCCTTTCCATCCTCTGACCTGGCCAGGTTTTTAACACTTTCTCTGTTCTAATTCCAGGGCCTCTTTCATGTAGCAGACCTTGTATAATAGAAATTTTATGTAGTTTCAAAATACTTGAGATTTTAAAAACACTTTCTGCTTTAAGTTGTTTCTTGAATATCAAGTGTATTTTGACTTACTAAACTTGATGCTATTTTCCTAAACAAATTACATCCATGGAGGGGCATGGCAATAGGACTCACTTTAGGGAGTGAAATGGTTAAATTACAATGTCTTCATTTTATTCAGTTTATATCAACTATTATAGAACTCAAACCACTTTTTTTCCCCGATATGTAAAAAAAAATTTTTTTCATAAATTCATCTGAACTTAAATTCTTTCATAAACATGTCACATGTGCAATTTTATTTTTTGTCATATATTTAAATAATTTCTTCTCTGTAGAGTTGCTAGTTCAAGATAGAAAATGAAATTATGTTTGAAACCAGTAATTGAATATAAAAGCATTTCCCTAAGTCCTTCTATGCAAAAACGCATTTACAATATAAACATGCCATATGTGAAACTACACACTATCACACACTGGAGGGGACTTCAAGTTCCATATTCTATCTACATGAGTCAAGGGGAAGGTGCTAACAGAGCACATCAGAAACCAGTTCATGGGGGTTGGGCAATGAGTCATCAAATCGAAATCTTTTGGACACCATGCTGCTATCGTCCGGGATGTTCTCTTTGTCTTCTCGATCCCCACAAGTGCCATTACAGGGGGCCTTAGGGGTCTTGTCTTCAGAAGCCCTTACTGTCTGATCCTGAATCTGAGAGGAACTGGAAGTTTCTTCAGGGTGAAACAAGTCTCCAAAGTCCCACTGCTGTAGCCAAGAATGAGAAAGGCAGATTTCTGCTGTTGGTCTTTGACTTTGGGGAGCGGGAAGAGAAAGCAAGGGAAGGTTGAAAATTAAATATCAATTTTAAAATGTTGGCAGTTTGTCAGAAGACAAACAGCAGATATTTCACTCATCATGAAACCACATATATTATATAAAACCCACACAGTACAAAAGGGAGTAACAGTTAACATTTATTAACTATTTACTTACATTCTGTTCTATATATGCTTCACATATATTATCTAATATATTAATCACAAGAAACTTAAGAAATGGGTGTTTATTATTCTCTTGATTATTAATATCAAGAGGCTAGTATCCTTCCCGAGAGCTCATCAGCTATACTACTAGTGAGGTTGAATGGAACCTTGACTGCGTGCTTACATATTATACCATGCTATGTCTCATGAAGACAAAAAGTAAAATATCTTTCTCCATTCTCACATTTCCCATGCCCACTTCCAGAAAATTCCTATGTGTATGCACATATGTACATTCACAACAGTTTACATACATATCATATTATTTCCTGAAATTTGCTTTCTTCATCCACATAGCTCAAACAGCTTCCCACATCAGAAGAGGAAATTAATAGTCAATTACACCTAGATTAGTATGCTTCCATTTGTGTAAGCCATAACTTATTTCAACAGCCTTAATGCTTCCAGAATTTTGACATTATAAGTAATACAGCAATGAACAATAATAAAATGTTTTTATTGATAACTGATAACTACAAGGTCAGCAATTTGAAATCAACTCCTTGGGAGAAAGGTGAGGCTTTCTACTCTCGCAGAGACTTGAAAAGTCTTAGAAACCCACAGGGGCAGGTTCTGCCTCTGTCTGACAGGGCCGCTAGGAGTCAGAATGGACTCAATAGCAGTGGGGTTAGTTTGGGCTTTTGAATACACAAGAGGAAAACAGCCCAACTTTCCTCTTTACTCCAAAATCGCCGGCTACATATTTTTCTGTTTGAAGTTACACATTTACTATTTAATGAACTATTTAATACCATTTCTCCAGTCAACTGCAAACTTTAGAGTATACTACTACTTTATGTTAGAGTTAATCCTTGTTAATAAGCTTTCTTATAACAGTATTTAAGTAAATTGATGTTGTTACTTACTCTGGGTTTTTTACTAAAAGGCTCTGGATAAAGTCCGTGGCCAGCTGTGAAACTGATGAAAATGTTTCTTCTGAATAATCCACATTTACTTGAGAAATATTGAGATATGTTTCTTGGTTATCTTCTCCCACAAATGGGGATGTATGTGTTAATAGCATATATGCTATTATACCAATGTTCCTGAAAAACAATGGAAGATAAGCAAGTTAGAAACTGTGTTCATCCTAAAATATTCATACAAAATTTAATCAATACTCTATATATTCCTGTCCTCAAGACTTGTACAATTAAATCACAGATTTAGATTTCCATTAAAAGTTCTTATTTTATTAAAATTAAAATAGCTGTGTGACCTCAAATTTTGCCTTCCAGAAAAATGGAATGTGTGTGATACAATTATTTAAAATATAATACATTAAACATCCATCATGATAGGTACAATTTGCCCTTCACACTGACACCAGCTGTGAGGACACAGTTGCTCAGAGAACAGCACTGCCCAGTAGTGTCGAAGGGTACAGCAACGACCTGTGAATGTAAATGGGTTTTCTGGGCCTTTTAAAAAAGGCAAATAAACCAAAACCCAAGCAGTTCCAGTCAAGTCAATTCTGACTCATATCAACTCCAGGGTTTGCCAATGAGGAAAAACGCAAAGTTAGGCAGGCACATTTCTTTACTATAGAACAGTGGATCTCAACCTTCCTAATGCTGCGACCCTCATGTTGTGGTGACCCCCCAACCATAAAATTATTTTCGTTGCTATTTCATAACTGTAATTTTGCTACGGTTATGAATCAGGTGACCCCTGTGAAAGGGTCATCCGACCCCCAAAGGGGTTGCGACCCACAGGTTGAGAACTGCTGCTATAGAACTTTTCAGAGCCATATATTAATGAGAAATCTGGTGCTCAGGGGCCAGAAAAAAAGACAATACAGCACAATGTCTCACCCATTTATTTACCCACAGAACCTTTTACAAGGAGAACCCATCAATAGTTTCATAGAACACAGAGAATCAGTCTAAACTCTTCCACTTGCTCTATCTGGTTTTCTCAATTCAACTTCTAATGTCAATTCTGGCTCGGTGGCTATGTGGTAGCCACAGACACCCTCAGAAGCATCCAGAGAGCTGCCCTCATTATTATACAAAGCTTTTATATGGATGGCCTCGTTTTTAAGCTTAGCATATACCTTTCTAAAATTTCTTCTAGACCTAAATCAGATGTCTCCCATGTCATAGAACCTAACTTCTTAACTTTTATCGGAGCATACTCAAGCATTAAAATAGATTCAATGGCATTTAATAATAAGACAACATCCTGCATTGTACTGATTATTTTGTTCTTCTATTAGACTGAGTCTTCCTTGTTGGAAATGATTTTTAAATTTTTTGTACCTTTAGTTCAGAGTCAAGGTGGTATGGCTCTTCTTGCAAGACTGAACTACTGAAATCTACATAGTTTGTAAATTATATACTAATAAAAGTGTTTAAAAAAAAGAATGTACAGGAAAATGTCTTACTGTGGCATAATAATGATACATAAGAAAAACCTTTAAAGAAAGGCTTTATTATTTAAATTTTGAATCAAAGAGCCCAGGAATATTCCTCCACCCATTTGTCAATAGCATGATAGCAATTCATGGAAACCCCATTGTGTCAAAGTAGAACTCTGTTCCCCGGGCGTTTTCAATGGTGAATTTATCAAGAGTAGGTAAGTCAAGCCTTTCTTCCAAAATGCCTATGGGCCTTCAACCACTTAAGCTGTACTAGTCAAGGGCCACATATCTATTAGCCCACTTTAATAAAGGAATTTAGGTAACTAACAAAACCTTACCACATATCTGTTGCTGTGGTAATGGGATCATAGTTCAGGATTTCTGGAGCTAAAAGAGAAAACAAAACTAAACTTACATATTTGAAGCCATGAACACTGTATGAAATTATAATTGGATTCAAATTTGGAAAGCCAAGTGCCATTAAAGCAGTAGAAATTCAGCACAGCATTTATTATCCTGTAATTAAACCTTCACACATAGGTAATAATAAGGCTATTGTATGACCAAATGGTTTAAAAGCATAAAAATGCTTGAGAAACAGGCACATATAATAGTTTTATTTCTAAAAGCACACTTAAGATTATCCCAGAAAAAAATAATTATGGAAAAACAAAATATTAGCGGCTTCTAAAAGTTTACATCTATTAATCTATTTACTATACTATATATTATTAATTAGTTTGTATTATTTTATTAGATTGTTTTAAAGTTGCTTTTCTTTTTTTTCAATGCAGTCAGATCATTTATGTTTATAATTACAAGATGGGTAAATTATGCTTTCTGGAAATGCTGTAGGCTTTCAAGCAGATTAAATACAACCCTCCAAACTATCAAATAATAATCAAACACTTCCTAAAACATCAATTCCCCAATATTTCATCTGCCCAAATTAAAAAGTGAAGAATAAGCTATCTGTACTTTCAAAACATTATTACACATTTCAAATTAGGAAAGTGAACTATAATTTATGGTCAAATTATAATGTTTTTGTTTCACAATATGGTCTTCTAACTTCCCTAGAGATAACGTGTTTTCTAACGTCTAACAGTTTTGGTAGTTAAAGCCTTCGTGTCATATCATATATTGTCAGCCTCCCATTATACCACATACATTGTTCACATTGTGAACTATTAAATAGCATGAAGTATTGCTAACAATTTCTGCCATACAGAAAATATCTGTACTCTAAGCAGCGTGGGATTTGGAGCCAAACAGAAGTAGAAATTAGGTCTGTGTAACAGCCAAGCTTCAAAGGCAATAATGGGTCACTGGAGTCTTTCAGCTTCCGTTTCCTACTTCATTTTCTCATTTTCTAGCTTCTTAAACTCCTTTTACCAGTATTTTCCCCTCTGTTTAAAAACAGCTACAAGAAATTAAACTCTTATACTTATGTATTCAACGTTCTATGAACTACATTCACCATCAACTATTTACAGGTATCAAAACCAAATTTTAGTACATTCAATCTGAACTAAATGCACCCTACATGTACATGCTCTAAAACAGTGTTATCAAATTATAATTTACTTAGTTAATGTGAAAAGTGGTGTAGAAAGTACAAGAAAATTCTCACCTAAGTATTCTGGAGTCCCCATGATTTCCCGAAGCTCACATGCATTCCCTATTTTCCTAGACATTCCAAAGTCCACAATTTTTATGTCTCCAAGAGGGTATACACTGCTCAGTAAGATATTCTGTGGCTAAATAAAGCACAGCAAACAAGATAAGTAATATAGAGTAAAAGAATACTAGTCTTATATCAGTAATAAATTACATGGAACCTACTGTTTAACTATGACATACCAGGGGGAATCCCCCCCCAAAATGGGAAAAAAAGCTCCACTGGGCACAGCAATAGTAGTAAGTCATTTTTCCCTCTAAGGGAGAATCAAGCAACTCTCTCTGAGTTAGTGCACCCAGTGGTGTCACCTGGGGAGGTTCTTTCTGGTCACAGTGAATTTTCTCATAAAAGCAGTTTCACTTCAACCTTGTTTTTTTTTTTTTTGTGATGGCCAATTTAATAGAATAGTATGCAGCTGTGAAATTGTGTTTCCTGCTTGGGAAAAATGCTGCAGAAACTGTTGTGATACTGAACACAGCTTACAAGAACAGTGTTATAAAACGTAAGTGTATGAGTGATTTTCTCATTTCAAAAAAGGTGAAATGTTGATTGGTGACAAACCTCGTTCTGAACATCCATCAACTTTCCAAACAGACGAAAATGTCAACAGAATTTGTGCCTTTGTGCTCAAAGACCAATGACGGACCATTGACAAGATAGAGAAGTCATCTGGACGATTTTGAAGGTTAGTTCAGCGAATTAGAATGGAAGATTTGGAAATAAGATGAGTTGCTGTGATATTTGTGACTTGGGTTCTGACTGACCAGGAAAAAGAGCATCAAGTGGAAACATGCTGTGCTTTGAAAGAACAGCTCTGACACAACCCACACTTTTTTTCCCCAAGGTCATTACTGGTGATGAGACATGGTGCTATTCTTATGACCCCGAAAACAAACATCATTCAAACCATAGGAAGGCACCATTGTTACCTTGTCCCCAAAAAGCTCGTCAAGTGAAATCAAAGAACTAGATGATGCTCATTTGTTTTTTTTGATGTGAGGGGGATAGAGCATTTGGAATTTGTTCCACCAGGTCAGACTGTTAATCAAGCTTTCTATTTAGAGGTTCCAAAAAGATTGCATAACAACGTGTGACAGAAAAGGCCTGATTTGTGGCAGATGGGGGACTGGTTTTGCCACCATGACAATGCACCCGCTCACGCAGCCATCCCAGTGCACCAGTTTTGGGCAAAAAATAGCATGCCTCTCTTGCCCCATGCACCTTATTCACCTGACCTTACTCAGTGCGACTTCTTTTTGTTTCTGCAAATGAAGAGGTACAGGAAAGGACATTGATTTGATGATGGTGAAGAGGTGAAGGAAAAAAACAAGGGGGGTGCTGTCAGCCATTCAAACAGATGAGTTTGAAAAAGGTTTCCAAGAATGGAATCTCAGATTTTACAACTGTATTCAGTATAATGGAGAGTTCTTTTAGAGTAACCAAGGTTGTTTTGTAAAAGAAAAATTAAATACATAGCTTTGGGGTGAGGGGGAACAAAATGTCTTTTTGGGGGTTCCCCCTTGTATGTCATTAGGTTACTAGGCAAACATTCACCAAACAACTACTTAGGAATAACTGTGCATCCAATGATGATCAAGACCAAATATACATACCATATATACTCGTGTATAAGCTGAGTTTTTCAGCACATTTTTAATGCAGTTTTTGTGGTAAAATTAGGTGCCTTGGCTGACATTCGGGTCAGCTTATACTTGAGTATATACTGTACATATATACACACATCTTTTTTTATTGAGTAGAAAGACAAGTAGGTAAATATTCAGTAATAATGAAAAGATTACTGAATACTGCCCATAAGATAATCCAAGAGTTGGAAGGGAGGGGAAAAAATCAGAAGCTGATATCAAGGGCTCAAGTGGAAAGAAAATGGTTCGAAAATGATGATGGCAACAAATGTACAAATGTGCTTGACACAATGGATGGATGGATTGTGATAAGAGTTGTATGAGCCCCCAAGAAAATGCTTTTTTAAAAAAGTCCAACAGCAAGAAAACGTTTCAGTAGAGATGATACTTAATGTTGAGTCTTACAGGATAAAAAGCACGATGCTGGCTGGAAAGACGCTCTAAGGAATCGCAGGGAAGGAGGCAGAGGCACAAAAACGCATATATTTCCAGAATCAGAAAATGGTTCCATCAGTGGGATGGTTCTAGATGAGTACCGTCAGATTGTTTCTAAGGTGCATGGCAGGCTTCCTCCACTGACTTCCAGAACATGGACTTTGCTTTAGCAGTGCAAACCCAAGGCCTATTACAAAGCATCCTGCTTCTACCATACCCCAGAGAAGACCACCCCTCCCTCTACCACCCCCACCCCACTCCCCCACAGGAGTCTCCCCCACGTTGAGAACAGTCCATGCTTATTTACTGTCAGGTCAGAGACCATTAGAAGGCAATAGGAGCATGTAATTAGCTCTGTTGTTCTCAACCATGGGTTGCAGATATGTAAAGCCAGGTTTATATGTTCCCCCAGATTGCAAATGGATGTGATACTGTGCAATATACTTGATTCGTCTTTCGTGTGAAACAAATCCAACTGAAAGGTGGTGAGAACATGATTATCCTATTGACCAAATTGCTTCTCTTCTAGCATCCTATCAGTAAGAGAACTGGCAGCAATGCTAGATAGTAAATACTTTTTTCTCTGTCAGCCCAACACAGAACAGGTGTTTTTTTGATTTTTGTCTTTTCTTTTAGAAAATGTGGAAGCCAAAGAGGGAGAGATTGTATGTCTAATTTGAGACATAAATTTTATAGTTTCTATAGGATGTCCAAATGATTTTTTAATCTGCAGTTGGTAGAAATGCCCTGGAAGAATTCAGGAGAGAGGCCATGAATACAGATAGAGATTTGAAAGCCATCACTATAAAAATAGTGGAAGCCACAGGATCATGCAGGTAGATTGTATAAAAAGGATTCATGAGAGAGGGAGGATGGTGGAGGGAGGAGAAAAAAAGAGGAGCTGATACCAACGGCTCAAGTAGAATGAAATTGTTTTGGAAATGTTGATGGCAGCATATGTACAAATGTGCTTAATACTACTGAATGACGGATTGTTACAAGATTTGTAAGAGCCCCCCAGTAAAATGATTAATTGAAACAAATATTTTTAAAAGAGAGAGAGAAAGAAGGGTCTGATGTCCAAAGGAATAAGGGGCAATTAGACTGATGAGATTTGAAGATCCCTGGGTGACTGTGGGGGAAGAATAAGGAGAAAGGGTAATAGCATGAGAGACTTCAGTGTTTAAGAGGCCCGGACAAATGGCCTAACTGCTCTGGTGGGAAAAGGAGGAGTCTACAATTGAAAGCCTCAAGGGAGAGGTGAATGAGAGTAATGGGAACAAGGCATGAGGACTAGTAGGAGGTCATTTTCCACAAGGGAGATTCGAATTGAGTACTTCACAGGGAGGCAGTTTAATAAGACAAGAAGGTACAGGATGTGGCTATAAGAAAGGATAGGAAGTGGAATGACGATCTGATTAGTCAATAAAGAAATGATGCTTTTTAAAGAGCCAAGTGATTAAATGGAGCTATTTATGCATGCAGTCTTCTCTTTGACAATACAAAACTAAGGCCGTGTAGCTAACAGGTAGATGACCATGAGCAGACTGCTGCTGCCTATCAATACCAGCTTGAAACTGCACACACCAGAAACAGGAGAAACACAGATGTCATACATTACTTACATCACATGCCACATTACCTTTAAATCAAGGTGTACAATGTTATTCTGGTGTAGATAATAGACTCCTTCAAGTATTTGCTTAATGAGTCTGATAATATCATTTTCAGAGACCATTTCAGCCAGTTCAGGTAAACACAGGTTGAAAATTTCCCCACCTGCAGCACTAAAATAAATTCAAACAAAAAAAACTTGAAAAATCACAAAGTGACAACTTTTAAGTACTGTATACCTGATAAAAGACAAACAGTCTATTCCTGAAAGGGCAAGAAAGTGGGAGAAAGAGGAGGGATCTTTAAGGAAGTAAACATAGGGCATAAATATCTTAGATTCTAGGTACTTGTAATGGAATATTCAATAAATAAAAGTGAATTGCTATAACTCAATAACTCCAGTCTACTGCAATGCTGCATTAAAAGCAGTAACAACGCTGTGAGCTCAACTCTGCTCTATGCGTGCATGTGCATACATGGACACTCATAAGGCTTTGAAAAGTTTTGGGGAAAATGGGATTAGAAGATAATGGAATTGTTTTTGATAATGGAATTTTTTTAAAGCCCCTTTGTGTGTGAATAGCATCTACACTGACTCACCTGACAGCCATGTGGTTGTCATTGCCCTTTTTACAGATAAGGAACGTAAGGACAAAGAGGTTAAGCATTGGCACAAAGTCAGACAGTAAACAGGGCGAGGTGAGATATAGTAGGTGGCGCCAGAATATGAATCTGCATAAGGAGTCTCCTTCCTTGACCCACTACATTGTATGAGTACTACTGCTTCACACACAACACCCATGGTCAGAACCCAACTCGTCTCTTTTATTTCAAAGTCTTAAAAACCTAAAGGATACTGATAAAGGCATAGTAAAAAATCCTAAATTTGGAAACAAATGATCTGAACAGAGTTAAGTCTTAACTCGGCTGTCTCCCAGCATTGTAATGTAGTCACATTATTTGGGTTTTCCCCTTCTGTAAAATGAAGTTATCACTGAATATTTTGGGGGGTGGTGGGAGGAGTTAAATATGAATAAGATAAATTGTGTCAGTAATCCTAAAATGAAAAAAATCAACCTAGTTACTTACCACATTTTATAAGGTAGGTTCGGAATTGTTAAGTAAAGCAAATTTGGGGGTGATAAAATTAAATACTCCTATAGAAAACACTTATTTGTGTTTGTCTGGTTCACTGATGTATCCTGAGCCTTAAGAACATTTTCTGGCATGTCGGTATGTGCACACACGTGTTTGATGAATAAACAAAGGCTGGCTGAAGCCATCATTCTTTAAAACAGCTGTGATTGAGACTCAGTAGTTTGGGACATTGCATGCCATATATATTAGGAGTCATGAGAAAAAGAAAAAAATCAATGGTAGTCCCAAATTTGAGTCCCCAAATGGCAGTCACAAGGGCTGACATATCACAGTGCACACAATCAGTAATCTAACCATCTGCACAGCATGCCAGGTAGAGGACACTGGGATTTTCTGCTGTCCACTTGGGGTTTATATTCCAGAGAAAACTCAGTAGGAAAGTAGCGAACGGAATACAGTGAGAGCTCTGATCAGATATTTCATTTCTACCCCCGATTCTCAGCTCCCTGGAAAATCAGTAAATTAACTTTAATATCTGTTGCAGCATACTACAATTAAAATCTCAGTATGAAGAATATAGTTCAATATTAAATCTATAATTGTCAACTCCATACTAGGATATAAAAAACTGATCCAATCCCACTGCCTTCGAGTCAGTTCAGACTCACAGCAACCCTGTATAGGGTTTCCCGGGCTTCACAAGAGGTTTTGTAAATCTTTACAGGAACAGCCTCGTCTTTCTCCTGCAGAGCTGCTGATGGATTTGAACCACCAACCTTGTGGTCAGAAGTCCAAAACTACAATATAGAAAGATATATTGGAAATCTACATTCTATTTACTCACTTTAATCTAAAGAGGAAGTGAATTGACCTCTATAAATAGTTCCTACACAGAATGCCCAGGGGCCCCTGTGTGGGCACAACAGGTGTTTTCTCCTCACCCTTTTTCAGGTCTCCTGGGGGAGGTGGGAGCTCCACAGCACAGCCTGACCATGACATCCTCACCCCTTCCCTTTGTGTGTGTGTGTGTATAACATTTAGCTTTTAATGATTCCCTCAAAGCATAAGTTTCTGCAAATTTTCAAAGCTACAGAGAAACTGAAAGAACAGTACCATTAACACCCATATGCCCTGCCCTTCACCTTGATTCACTAGTTGTTTACCTTATGTGACACTTATTGAACCACGTGAAAGTAAGCTGTAGATATTATGATACTTTTCTATTACATCATGAAGGATTTCTAAGAATAAGGAAATTTTTTCCCTTAATTATCCCCACCACTAAGCCTAAAAGGTTAACAATAATGTAACTTTTTGTAATGAGTATATAAGTAAACACTTTAATGTATTTGTTGTGTTTTGAGTCATATTTTATGATTTAAAAAATCATATCCTAATATTAAATACAAATATAAATAAATGTACCTAACTATGTAACTGAATTTACATCCTTAGTGGCCTACATTCTAAGGGCAAAAAAAAAAAGCAGTTGTGACATGTTGAACTTTAATAAATTATGTGTTGCTTATTGTAGTATTAGTATTATCCTGATGAAACTATTTTGTATCCTGTGCACTATAGGTAATTGTAAGGTAGAGAAAATGAGTAAATACATTGCTAGTATTGAAGATTTGGGATTTACTCTGGGAAAACAGATTTAAATACGGAATAAAGAGAAGTGATAAAAAGCCTTGAGTTGTCATATTTGAGTTGGGGTTATCAGCATGAACTCCTGATTTGTAAAGTTAGTATTTCCTAATGTTATTCTCAGAAAAGGCCTAGAAGCTGGCCTCAGATGTGTGTTTCTAAATGCCCCTTTCCACTGCAAGGAGCCAGAACTTCTATGACAGCTGACTGACACAGGGGAACTAGAAGGCAAGCCTGGCAATCAGGGTCACAAATCGAGGAAACCCTTAAAGACCATCAAGATCATTTCCAAAGGACCCAGGAAGTAGTCTGAAAGGGTACCACTGGCTAAATTTGCGACAATTTAAACATGAAATAGTAATGACATTACTTTGTTATCATTGTTAGTTTTTACTGTTGATGTTTTAACTTTTTCTGTATATGAAATCCAGGATAGACAAATCTATAGTTAGTTCCTTAGGGCAGGGGATATTGGAGGGAAATAGGGAGCTAATAATGATGAGTACAAGATAAAGAAAATGTTCTAGAATTGATTATACAAGTCTTCTTGATGTGATTGAACAACTGAATCATATGATGTGAACAATATGCCAATAAATGTTTCAAAAATGGGCAAAAAACACCCCCACCTGAATCTAATTACAAGGAAACAATCAGATTAGAATATTGGACATTTTGCATGGCAATTGGAATAGCTTCCCCTCCTCCCTGGAGGCGGGACACACTCACACTCCCTGCAAGGCATTCCTGTTGAGAAGACACATGGAGCTACACTAAAGCCCTGAGATGAAGGAGCCATGTGAAGACCTCTGCCAGTGCTGAGATGCTTCTACTGCCACTGGATCCAAAAGACTTTCCACCCACTGGCCTGTGATCTTCCTGAATTTGGCATCATTGCATGTGATGTGTGAATCTGAAGAGGAATTTGCAGACTGGTATCATAAATATGGGCTAATATCGGACTTATGGACTTGATCTGGATTGGGCTGGGATGTTTTCTCAATATTCAATTGCTCTTGTATATAAAGATCTTTCTTATACACATATGAGTATCTATTAATTTATTTCTCTGTTTCACCCAGACTAACACAGTATGTTAAAAGTGGAAAAAAAAAATAAAACAAAACAGGAATAAGATATTTGGGGATAATCAAAGACATGTAAACACTGTATACCTGATATTCTTACGGAATTACTGTTAAAACTTTTAGATTATATTAGAAAGAAATGTTTCATGATGCAATGGAAAAATATCATGATACCTACAGATTACTTTCAAATAGTGGCAAAAGGCCAATTGGGAAATCAAGGTGAAGGGCATCATTTGGATACTCTTTCTGACATTTTGCACAAGTACAGGGAATCCAGGGCCAATGATCCCTTCAGGACCAGTACTGTGAGTGGTGATACTGGAAGGGTAGAGGGAGAGTGGGTTGGAAAGAGGGAACTGATGACAAGGATCTACATGTGCCCTCCTCCCTGGGGGACAGACAACAGAAAAGTGGGTGAAGGGAGACGTCGGACAGGGCAAGATATGACAAAATAATAATTTATAAATTATCAAGGGAGGGGGGAGCAGGGAGTGGGGAAAATGAGCTGATGCCAGGGGCTTAAGTGGAGAACAAATGTTTTGAGAATGATGAGGGCAATGAATGTACAAATATGCTAAATAAAATTAAAAAAGCCAGAGTGGCAGAATAGATTTTTTAAAAAAGAAGCGTCGTCATGGAGAGCAAATGTTGTGAGAATTATGAGGGTAATGAATGTACAAATGTGCTTTATACAATTGATGTATGTATGGATTGTGATAAGAATCGTATGAGCCCCCAATAAAATGATTTTAAAATAAATAAATAAATAGATTCAAGGGAGAAAAATGAGTAGATACAGTGAGTGAGAAGGGGACCAACTAGGGAATTGTTATTACAGGGAAAATTCCACCACTTTATTTTCTCCATATAAAGATTTTGCCACCTAGCCAACCAAGTTTCTGTCTTTCATGGACAACTATGCCACTGCAAACGAGAAAAAGGAAACCAAACACCCAGCAATGCATTTTAGTTCCAGCTGCTTTGACAAGAAATTGCACAGTTGGTTGCATCTTGTGCTGCTAACTGCAAGGTCAGCAGCAGTTCCACCAACCCACCAGCAGCTCTGCAGGAAAAAAAAGAGGCTTTCTGTTCCCATACAGAATTACAGCCTCAGAAACTCTATATAGGGTTGCTATGAGTCAGAACCAACTCATCAACAGTGGCTTTGGTTTGTTTCAAGCCAGACATTTGCTCAGTGCCTGTTACATTTTTCCGCCACACTGCACAGGAATCAGTCACAGCTGTGCCAGCTTTGAACTCATTTGCTGGGTAGGATATCTGAGTCAATTTCAGAGTGTGAATATAGTCCACATTTGTTCGATACGCTTTTTGTTGCTGCTTAAAGGAACTCCCAAAAGAAGCATTTTTGGAAAGTGTTCGATATTCTCTTTTAAAAAAATATTAACTATTGTTTTTTTATAATTAAAACAAGCATATACCACGCAAATAACTTGTTAAAGGTCAGATGAAGAATCACAAAACGTATGGAAGATGAAATCATACTGGCAATATTCTGCCTTTTTCAGTAATTGATTTATCTTGAGAATGCTAAAAACATGCCTTAAAACGATGCCTCTGTGTTCTAGGAAATGGATGTACTCAACAAGTCAGACTGACAGTCCTTGCAACCACGGGCTCAAACATACTCGTTGTAAGAATGGTGCGGGACCAGGTGGTGCTTCATTCTGTTGCAGAGTCACTATTTGGTTAAAATATTTAACCAATTTTCTGTGCCATTAGTAAAATAAAAGTAGACTCCACTTTCCCCAAATGTTACACACCATTAATTTATTTTGTACTATTTAATTAAAATGAGGTTGTACATTTAGCTTTGGGGAATATTTTCTAATAAATTGTGGATCAACAACAATTTGTATATGCTCTTATAATAATTTTATTATTTTTATCCTTGATGCTTCAAAAATGCTTTTCCTATCAATTAAAACAGGTACCATAAATATAATTAAAGTTGCAGAAATGCATACTTACTATTCCAATATCAAAATGATTTCACTTGCATTTTCATAGACTTCATGAAGCGTAATCACTCGGGGACAAGACTTGGCCAATTCGAGTACAGCAATCTCATGCAGAATCTCTGCTCGACAATCCTGTCCTCTTCTTCTCTTTTTGAGAAATTTTGCAGCATATTCTTGGCCAGTAGATTTTGATATACATTGTCTAACCACAGCAAATTTTCCTCTGAGGGAAAAAGAAGAAAAAACAATTTTAGCTTTTCTATAGAGAAACAGAATCATGTACTGAAAATATTTTGAAAGAAATTATACTAGTGTCACATAAATAATATAAATAAAAAAGTATGATACAGAATATTTGTTCCTCGCTATTAAGAGTACATTATCAAAAACAAACCAGCAAGAGAGTACATTATTTTTAATAAGTACATTATAATTGTGCACGTGTACAGGGGCAGAGGGAAGAGGTGAAAGTAGGTATTATTTACTTACCTATACCCCGTCATACTCTTCATATAAAGTATTGCATTTGAAAATAAAAACAATGATGTACATATATGCTATTCTATTTGCTTTGCAAACTACAGAGAGGGTATGTAATTTCCAAGTCAAGATTTAAACTTGTCTATGTGAGTAAGTCATCAAGTATTGACACTAGGGTTCCAGTTCATAGCTGCCTGAGTTTATTCCCTACAACACAGGTTTAAACATGTCTCTGTGATTATTAAGTAGATGGCTGCTGGTAAGTTCTCACAGTACTGCATTTGTCTTAAGTCTCTCCAGATGAAATAAAAAATAAAAGATAGAGAGGTCCAATTAAAATGGCAGCTTCCTAGGGGAGCTGCTGGACCAGTTAAAGTCAATGCAGATCAATCAGCTCAGAAGGCTATGGCACCAGCTCTCTTGGATTCTAGAGGAATCATCTTCATACATTTTTCTCAGAGGACTGGGGCAAAGGGAAAGGTGGGTCATAGAGGCTTATTATGGAGAAATTAAGAAAATAGAAAATTACATTGCTGAGGAAAAGTTATACCAAAGGCCTTTTTTCAATCATGATAATGTATCTGCTCATTTCATTCTTCCAGGATAAGAAGGTTGTCTTTTGAGAATGTCAATGGGAACCCTCGTCCCATCCACTTACAACCTTGACAGTACCCCTTAAAATGTTGTTTTGCTTACAAAATTCAAAACATTTAAAAAGAACATTATTTGAATCCTTCAAGTAGGTCAAAACTGCTGTTTTATGAAGAGCACTGAATTATTTGGGAACAGAGTTTGGGATATGGAAATACCACTTTGAGAAGTATATAGATCTAGATCGAGGCTATGTTGAGAAACAATAGGTTCACTTAATAAAGGTTTCTGAGTTTTGAGATGGTTGTGTAACAGTACATTTTGACTTATCCTATTTCCAAAGACCATGATTTTTATATGGTGTTACATTAACTCCCTTATCAAAATACTCTTCCCCCAAATTAAAAAGAATATAGAAATGAGTATGACCTATTTATGTTTATTAACATAATGACTTTATCTTCCAATTCCATTTTTATTGAGCTCTGAAACTTTCTATCAAAATTTCTTAAGTCATTTGGTCATATACTTCTTGGCACTGCTCAGAAGTCTATGAATTCTGTAATAGACATCAGGGTATATGTGTGTTTTATGCAGAGTATTCAAAGACACATGACAGTCAACATAAAACAAATGCTTATCAAGGATAACAAACATACATGCTAAGGTTATGTTACAGGATTAAGTATGTCTTAAGGCTCTTCAGTAGGCGATTCATCAACTCGGCCAATTTTTTATATGCATAGTTACTCTTTTTACTGCGAAATTTATAAATTCCAAGTCTACAATTTCCCAAAATCTGATTTCTCCAAGACTTAAAGCTACTTTTGGCTAGAATATTTTGAGAAACTAATAATTACTGATTGCCTCCCCCTGAAAAAATGTACACATATCTTAAACAGGAAGTTGTACATATAATTCCACAAAATTTTCAGATCTTTAAGCACATTCATGAACGACCTTATCCCAAGGCTCAAATTACTCCGCAGTTTCCAGCACTACCAAACCAGGTTAAACAGACTCTTCTAAGAGCGCTAACAATTTCTATATGAATATATTTCCATCCCAGCATATCAAGAATATAATTTTAAGACAGTTGGCATTCACATGGGTGGAAAGAATACAAATTAGCAAAATAAATTGCTTGTCTGCATTCTACTCGCTATTTCTAAGGGCCAGGATGTCCAAGTCCTGCTCTTTATTTCTAAGTTTTTTCAAAATTGGTTTCAGTGAAAAACAATGGAAACAGCTGAAAAAGAAAGCAGGCTTTTTTTTAAAGCCCAGGTATAAATTGATTCATCTACAGTTTTCAAAATATACATAAAGTAAGTAAATATACTGTAAAAAATATTAGAAAGCACTGTAAAATTAAGATTGGAGCATAGTTAATTCAATTATAAGATATTATTGACTATATGCAAAAGACTACAAATTGATACATTTTAATGAGCACACAATAACCTATATTCCTTTCTATTAAAAGGATCTATTTTTACAAATGCTATAGTGAATAAACTGAGAATAAGAATAAATAACTCAAGAAAGGTCATACATGGAATTAGAGTGCCAAGAATTAAACTGTGGAATGTGGATTCTTAGCTTTCTGTTCTAACCACTACAAAACAATTCCTCCCTTCAAAACCATTATTTTTAAGAAGTGTAGCTCCCTTCTGCCAATTCTTATACAGATTTAGAAGCAAAAACTAGTCTAAAACAGACATGAAAATTTGAGCTTCAGAAAGAAATCTACTTTGTAAAAATTCAGGAAATAAATAGTAATAAAAGTATGTGAAAAAAATAATTTATAATAGTACCAATTGTGACAATTTATTTCTGTTAACATCTTGTAGCTCAACCAGAATTCTTATAAAAATAAAGAGCCCAAATTAATACTTTTTTATGTAATTTTTCAGGTATTCTCAAGAGGCTTTCATACACAAGTATGACTGTACTCATTAATCAGGGCCAAAGGTGACTAAAAAGACAAGGGTAATTATTCGCTAATGCTCACCTCCGAGTGAAAAAACTCCACGAGGCCATGGACCGTGTGTGTTCTCATGACTTTACTACTATTACTACTCACTGCCATGGAGTTGATCTTAACTCATGATAGCACCACAGGACAGAGCAAACTGCCCCTGTGGGTTTTCCATATCTTTAAATATTTATGGGAGTAGACGACCTTTCTCCCGCAGAGACCCGTGGGTTTGAACCGCTGATCTGGTAGTTTACAGCAGCTAACGCACAGCCCACTATGTCACCAGAGGTCCTCTCTAATTACTACAGCGACTGTAAAAATCTACACTGTATTAGCACAGTGTAGGATCTGTTGAATGAATGCAAATATCTGTTGAGGGTATACAGGGGTTGCGCCTACTATATTTTTATGTTATTTTATACTATCCTTAATGCATTTTCAAATTTTAAAGCTAATTTGAGATTCTAAAAGAATATATATACACAAGCATATTCACAAATATGTTGTTAAATAAGGGAAAAACTTTAATTATCAGCTGATTTAGAAAAATTAGGTGGTTCTTTTTTCTGCCTATTTTAAGAGCCCTGGTCGCCTGGTGGTTATATGTTGGGCTGCTCACCACAAGGTCTGCAGTTTGAAACCACCAGCCACTCCAATGAAAAAAGATGAGGCTTTTACTCCCTTAAAGAGTTACAGTCTCAGAAACCCACAGGGGCAGCTCTGCTCTGTCCCATAGGGTCATTATGAGTTGGCATAGTTTGGTTTTTGGATTTTGGGAGTTGTGGCTTAAAAGCATCAAAAATATAAAATCTTTAATTATGTATATTCATATGCCAAATTTAATTTTAAAAATTCAAGGAAACTTAAAATCTTTTAATGGCAATATTTAGTCCATGCCCTAAAAAGGCTGACTATATTTCCCAGGGGTACAAAGCTCTAGCAGTTACTGTTCTGCATTCTAGAATGCACAATAAAATGTGAAAGGAGGGGGAGGGTAAGCCACAAAGGAAGCTGACGTTTATTTCTGAATCGGCCTCACCCTTCAAACCACAAGCAGCCCCACGAAACCTTGCCTCCGCTGGGGGAGGGGAAGAGACTTACCCAATAGCTAAAACAGGACAGTGCGAGTTGTTTGAGACAGACAGAAGTGAACGCCCAACTTTTGTTTATGTTATCTGAGTTCACTGGTATAAATTCTCAAACGTTGTCTTCAAATTAATTTTTAAAAGCTTGATTTAGAATGATAACTTTGTAGCGCTCACCACATGCTAGAATTATGAGTGTGTCTGTATACTTGAACACACGCAGGGCTCAGAAGAAACGAGACTATGACCCTAATCTATATTCCACAATACCCTAGCGCTCCAGACTCAGTGCCATCGAGTCAATGCTGACTCTCAGCGACCCTGCAGGGCAGAGCATAACTGCCCCCGGGGGTTTCCAAGGCTGTAACTCTGTGACAGTACAAAGCCTCATCTGTCTCTTGCAGGACAGGCGATGGTTTAGAACTGCTGGCCTTGAGGGCAGTAGCAGCTTAATGTATTACCACTATATAACCCGGGTCTCCCTAGCCACAAAACTGTAGAATATTAAAATTCATAACAATATTGAAAGCCATCGTAATCATCTTCTTGACAGATAAAAGGCCATGCTTTCTCATTCATCAAGGTTTACTAATTAAGCATATCAATATTTACCATGTGACTTATTAGCCCACAGCAATGAAAAGAAAAATGTGTTTCATGAAGTTATTAGATGAGATACTAGCAATCTGAATGTGTTTGAATCAGATTCCATAATAATTATTTTGCTATAAAATGTTAGAAAGTACACAATTAACTAATTGTGCCAACCTGGCCGATAATCACATGTGGGGCTAATTGGAAGGCAGAGGGATAAATGGGTGGTGAGCCTCACCTTTCTAGTTCTCGGGTCTCTTGCTTTGTGATGGTTGCACCGGGTGCAGCTGACTTAGCAGTTCCCTGCTTCAGCTTGCAAGATTGACTTCCTACAAGACATCCCCAAGGAGAAGCTACATGGACCTATCCCGATGCAGCCCTGGGTGCTGGAGCAGCCGTGTGGAGACCCCTGCTAGTGCTGAGATGCTTATTTAATCACTGACTCAGCTTACCTCCTGCAGTCAGCAGCATTGCCTCTGTTTTGTGAGGTGGGGGACTTTGTGGACTGGTGTTGGGTAAATGGGTTAATGTTGGACTTGTGGGCTTGGGGAGCATTGTTTTCGTGATGCACATTTTCTTTACATAAAAGTCTCTTATACATGAGTTGCTGTGGATTTGTTTCTCCAGAGTACCCAGACAAATACATACACCAATTCAAATTTATGATTGTTATTTATAATGTACCTCACCTGTTTATAAACAATTTAGAGTTTTTAATATTGTTCTCTTCGATATTTTTCCCAAAACACTCAAAGAAAAGTTCTTTCTTTTTCATCAGTGAATCGCTGCCATTAAGTTGATCGGGATTCACACAGACCCCACAACTGTTACAGTAGAAACTGGACTCCACAGCGTTACCAGTGGCTGATTTTTCAGTATCATCTCACCAGGCCTTCCTGACCAAGTGACTCCGGGTGTACTCAAATATCCAACCTTTCAGCTGCAGTAGAGCACATTTAACAGTTGGTACTACCCAAGGACACACTGCCTAGCTACCCATTATGGTAGTTATTTTGCAAAGATAATTTCATAAATGCATGCCCTCGTAGCACAACGGGCTCAGTGCTGGCTCAAAACCACCAGCGCTCCCTCCACTGGGGAAAGAGGAGGCGATCTGCTGCTATAAAGCTGCACGGTCTCGGCAACCCTACGAAGCAGTTCCACTTTGTCTTACAGGGTGACTCTGAGGCAGAACCGACTCAAGGGCCTCAGATTTCGTTTAGTGTGTTAAACATATTCACACAAAAAAGGAACTATAAAAAGCTAAAATCAAAGACAAAAAACCCTTTACACGGTTCAAGGCCTGCCGATGATTTAATCCACCTTCTTATCTTAAAGGAAAGGGTATCATGCACTCGAGTAGACTACATAACTTTGGATCCACATCAAAGACATAGATGGCTTCCAGGTCAGACCGTTTTTATTCATATACTATATGGTGCCATATAACACTACTGGACAAGAATAAAAGAAACTCCTAAAGGAGACTACCTTCAACTGAATTAATAGTTTCATTGTATGTTGTATTGTAGTTATGTTGACAATAGTGTAACCAATGTAAGTCTGCCATTTTAAAAGGGACTATGTAAAATACAATGTGGGTCAGAAGAATATCAAAGAGGGCTATCTGGAAATTAGGCCATACAATGAATAGTCCAGAACACTGGGGCTGCTTAGCCATAAGGAATATCAGGTGTTTCTGTATGGATGACATTATATGCAGTACAGAAAGAGAACCAGGACAACTGGGTAGATGTTAGCAAAATAGAAAACAGGGCTGTTATACCAAAACAGAATCCTGATGTTAGCTGAGGTAGTAAAGTCTCCAACACTAAAGCATTCATATTAAGGCTCAACAACGGCTTCTCGGGGAAATTACAGAAAAGATTGTTGCACTGCTTTAAAAAATTAAATTAGAAGACCCCTCGCCACTGAAGTCCTTGCAATGCAAATATCCCACGATTATTTAATGTGAGATCCAAACAACTGAAACAGAAAACACTTAACCTTTCCTGTTACAATGCAAAAGGAAAGAATATATGTAAAACAAATTTTTTAAAAGGTTAAGAAATTTCTAAAAGGTTAAGACACACACACACAATCTGTATCTCTTCATCTTCGCAAGAGACTTAAAAAAAAACATGGTAAAATATACAACATCACCACTAGGCAAACATCATCACCATCCACTTCTGAATTTTACCTTACCACTAACAGAGCCAAACATTTTGCACATAAAATTAAATAAACACACCAAGAATCATGCAGTCTGCTTTTACACTTAATTCCTAGTCTGATAACGTAACAATATTATCATCCTTACTTTGCAAAAAGACCAAAGTTATAACCCAACAGCTAACAAAGGAAAAAGCTAGGATTTGTATTTACCCATGAGAAAAGCCCACCAAGAACAGAAATGCTTTTTAGTGTTCAACGAATTTTTGTTTCCATATTGTGATTTTAAAAGATAAAAATCAACTATACAATTGTATTGTTCTTCTAACACAGACTTAGTAACATACCCCCAACCATTTCCCCCGCAGGATTAAAGTCTAATATAAAATAAATGTAAAATAAAATATAAACTAATGGCCATCTCCAAAGTACCTCGAAAATTTAAAGTTAAATTAAAAGATAACACTGATTATATAATTAAATAATTTGGTATACATATTATAATTATCATATATATTAAAATAGTAAGAAGTCTCAACATCAGATCACTCCTTTGCCTCAAAGAGATTTCATCTTTGACAAAACATTTTAGTATTTGTACAGGATTTAACATAAAGAAACATGTATTTTTCATTACACTATCAAATTTTTGCTTAATTCAGGAAAGAGGAAGAAGACAATCTCCTAGGTCCATGTTTCACCCAGCACAGTATACTAGGACATTTCAAAACTGTTAATTAAAAAAACCAAACCCTCATCTAGCATTCGAGACACACTAGTTAGTAATGGAATCCTCATAACTCCAGCACTGTGTGTAACTTAGCAGAGGTCACTGTTCATTCCTAGCTGGGCCATTTCTTCCTTGCACTTCCTGAACTAAGACCCCTTTTTATAAGGGGCTCTGAAGCTGGGTGGGATGCATTATAGGAACTTACTGGAACATCCACAGACTTGATTTTCAAGTCAGTTAAGATTGGCTACTAATAGCAGCAAAGGAGATAACTTTTCTTTCTGATCATTGTTACAGTAATGATCCAAGTGAGTTCTACGGTATCAATTACAAAAAAAGAAAACAGAAACCCTAAGTCAAAATTAAATCAGAAAGTAAACCTTAGTTTTCTTACCTTCCTAGCTCTTTAGAGGTAAGTGTATAAAAGTGACTGACATTATCCAGTTTCATTGGAGTTTGTGGCACAGTAGTTAGCAAGCCTGAGATACTTCGGCAATCAAATCTTCTCCTCGACATGTTAGCGAACTCCCAGATACCTGTCGTTTCTTACTGGTTTCAACCTTTGAGAAAAAAATAAAGCATGAAACTTAAATGTAATTAAGAAAAAAAAAAGTTATCTCAGACAGGATGTGCACTAGATTGTATGCAACTCCAAATATAGCCATAAGCAATCACCTTCACCACCACCCAAAATAAGTACAAGCGTGTGCTCCGCACAAGGAATAGGGCAGAGAACATACCCACAAATCAGTAGCCCTCTGCAGCACTGGAACAGTCACTGACTTCATTTCATAATGCAGCGACTGTAAAACTCCTGCAAGACCTCCCAAATTCTTAAACAAATAACTATCATAGAATTATAGTACAAGCAAATAACTTAATTTTATTTTAAAACATAAGCTTTTAAGTTTCATCTTTAACATGAAAACATGACACAAACAGTTGATTTTAAATTTCATTTCACATTGCCAAACAGAACTGAAAGCTAGACTGTAATGGTGAATTCACATATATTAAGTTTTATTACTGGCATGTGAATGACTAAAGAATAGAACTTGTTTCATACACTGACTACAATTCAATACTATATTCAGAAACTTTCATAGAGCTTAACAGTTTCTTTCCTATGGATGCAATCTAGCACAAAGTCCACCACATGTGAAGAGTAAAATAGTTTTGTTGTATAAGTATTTGTCAATACATAAAGTTTTGCTCACTATTTATATACATTCAGTTTAATATTAAAATCACTATTTCATTTCACCTGATCTCAAACAATGGCAAGCTATATATTTCAGGATACTTCTGCTATGCCTACTTAATAAAAGACGAACATCATTCTTTTAACACCTTCCCTATAACATCTACGGTTATTGTTTCTTCTCTGTTATAATTTTTCTCTTCATATTTCCTACTTGATATGTATTGTTCTTCATTTTCCTAAATTTAAGTGCCAACTATATTCAACTTAGCAAAGAAGCATTGTGGTTAGAGTTTATTGTTTTCAGTTCCTACAGTTCTCTCTTCCTGGTTTCATTCTCAAGCCAGCAAGATTCCCACCCCCACCCCCACATTCCTTGATCTTTGGGCCCAAGCCCCAATTTAATACTTTATAAAAGAAGATATTCTAAGTACATAGTAAAGGATAAAAACGCCATAACAAATATTTGCTCTTTTAAGTTTTATTACTTTTTCAATATTTCATGTAAAGAGTGCTGGTGGTGTAGTATCCTACACACTGAGCTTCTAACCATAACATTGGTGGTTCAAACCCACCAGCTGCTCCATGGGAGAAAGATGAGGCTGTCTGCTCCCATAAGGATACAGTCTCAGAAACACAATGGAGCAATTCTGCTATGTCCTATGGAGTCACTATGGGTCAGAACTGATTGATGGTAATGGATTATGCAAAGAAGCATTGTGATTAGAGTTGTTTTCAGTTCCTACAGTTCTCTCTTCTTGTAATAAAAAACAAACAAAATATTGTAGACCAAGTTGCAGTTGGTCCCTTTTTTTCCATCCCATTTACAATCTCCAATAGCATAGCACCATATGGAGGATTTTTTGGCCCATTTCCTTGCCAACACTTGCTCGATGCAGACTTTTATTAAATCAAAACTCAGCGAAGTTAAATAATTTATTTAAGGTCTCACAGTTGGTGTGATGGAATAATATGAATAATATGATTACTCAAATGTTCTTTTCAGAATTCGTGTACTGCTACCCTTACTCTTCCTAAAGATACACACACAGTAAAATTATCTTAAAAAAAAAAAAGATGAAGAAATAGAAAAGTTCTAAAGGCTTGAAGGTAATCAAGTGGCCATCAAGCTCAGAAGCAACAAAGCCCACATAGAAGAAGCACACCAGCCTATGCAACCACGAGGTGTCGAAGGGATCAGGTGTAAGGCATCATCAGAACAAAAAATCTTACCATAGTGAATGATGAGGGGAGTGTGGAGTGGAGATCCAAAGCCCATTAGTAGGCCACTGGAGATCCCCTTGCAGAGGGGTCTCGGGGAGGAGATGAGCCAGTCAGGGTGTGATGTAAGAATGATGAGAAATACAACTTTCCTCTAGTTCCTAAATGTTTCCTCCCCACTCCCACTACCATGACTCGAATTCGATCTTGCAAGTCTGGCTAGACCAGAGGATGTACACTGGTACAGATAGGAACTGAAAATACAGGGAATCCAGGATGGATGAGCCCTATATGACCAGTGGTGTGAGTGGCAAAACAGGGAGGGTAAAGGGAGAAGGGGTAGGAAAGAGGGAACCGATTACATGGAACTGTGTGTGACCTCCTCCCTGGGGGACAGACAACCGGAAAGTGGTTGAAGGGAGACGTCGAACAGGGCAAGAAATGACAAAATACCCATTTATAAACTATCAAGGGCTCATGCGGGAGGGGGGAGCGGGGAGGGAGGGGAAAAATGAGGACCTAATGTCAGGGGTTTAAATGGAGAAAAAATGTTTTGAGAAACGATGTACAAATGCGCTTTACACAATTGATGTGTGTATGGAGTGGGATAACAGTTGTATGAGCCCCTAATAAAATGTTAAAAAAAAAAAAAAAAAAGAAATAGAAAAGTTCAATGGTCATTACTATTCGAGTCTTAAAAGGCTTCAATGTTTTCTATGCATTTATGTAGAGCTTTTATGTTTTTCATCTACTTCATAGGTCAGTTATTCAGCTATAAGCATGTAGAGTAAATATTATGCTAGAATTAATGCCTAGTTTATTACAGCATAGAGAAAAACCACTTAGTAAGTTCTGAATAAACTTTAGCTATAAAAACATTGGTGGTGCTGCTGGGTAAGTGTTGGACTGCTAACCACAAGGTTTGCGGTTCAAATCCATCAGCCTGTTTGGAGGAGAAAGATGAGACTATCTGCTCCTGTAAAGATTTATAACCTATCTGGGATTACTATGAGTCAGAATTGATTCAATTGAAGAAGATTTGGTTTGGGATATAATTCTATATAATGAATGAAAATTTGTAACTTTTCAGTTGTATGACTTCATTGTACTACTTGTACAAATCCAGATTTATCCTGGAATTTTTCAACAATAACAACAACAACAAAATAAAAACTGATTTCCAGGGATACTGATGAAAATTAAGTTTGAAAATGCCTTATTAAGTTATATTAGGACAAAGCTTAGATTATCAGAACTTGAAGTGGATGATGATAATAAACAGAGCCTTTAAGCAACCTATTAACAATATTCCCTAATACTATATAATATTTGATTTTTGCCAAACATATTCTATAACACTTGTATATATGCCGGTCATCATAATGGATGAATATACCACAGATACTTTTATGATTAAGCAGCTCTGTAGATGCAATGGCCAAGCACACAGCTTCTCATCAGAAAGTGGACGGTTTAAACCCAACTTACTCTCCACAGGAAAAGTCCTAGAATCTGTTCCCGTACAGATTACAGCCAAACAAGAAACCCAGGTGACAGTTCTACTTTGTCACATGGGATGACTCTGTCTCAAAAACAACTTCAGGGCACTTAACAACAAAATTTGGGTGAATACAAATATGGGTAAAAACAGTGGCAGGTAAGCGGTTTAAAAATATATATATACTGATACTATGGCTCTTCATATATTGGAACACAAATTATGCCCCAGAAAAAGTGCACATTTCTGACAAGTGAACCCTAAACTCATTTAGGTATTTGGTATTTATTACAAACTGCTATAGGGATCTGTACCAGGGCAAATCCAAAAGTGTTGCCACAAAATAATAGAAGCCCCAATTAAACAAAAGAATATATATCATAATGTGAAACTGGACATATCCTCCTCATCCAGGTCTCTACATTTCTTAAGATGAGGTATTTCTCCCCATTCTTTCCCTGAAGAATTTTGAGCTCTTCAATTTACACCACATCCAAAGTGCCTCTTTGGCATCTTTGAGGGACTCAAATCATGTCTCTTTTGAATTCTCTTTGAGTTTTGGTGTATATATATATATAATATGCAAGGGCAAGATCATCACTGTAGGGTTAATGGGTTAAGGTATCCCAGTGAAATTCCCACAGGACAGCCCTTGCTACATTCCAAGAATGAGCAGGTGCAATGCTGTGATGGGGAAATTGCCTGTGTTCAACTTTCCTAGCATTTTCTCACCAGTGCAGTTTTCTATTTCCTCAAAACTTTTCGATAATAGTCCCCAAGATCATACTATGTCTTTGAGAATATCCATCAGGATTACCCCTTGGGACTCCCAAAAAAGTCATCACCATAAGCTTCTGAGGGGACCTCTCTTCCTTAAGTTTAACTGACTCAGCAGATTCCCTTTGGAAATCACTAGTTTGATTGGACCTTTTGTTTTGTAGGCATCGTTATCAAGATTGAGACAAGTAAATTACAGAAAGAACTTGTCTGTGGCCATCCACTGATGGCAACGACATATTTGAACACATTTTGTTTAGAATAACCATATATATGCAAGTTGAAACTAGAAACCTGGTAGCAATACTTTTTGACTTCACTCTTTGAGCATAACATAGCTTTTCTTATTTCCCTCGTATTTACTGGACTGGAACCAGCTGTCACAGCCTACTTATTTTTCTATCTCCTCTGCTTTGGACAATTTTGCATATTCAATGAAGCATCAATGCCACTTGTCCACCAAACTCTCCACCAACATCTGGCTACCCTTCATATAAGATTTAATCCTTAGCTACATGAAAGTTATTGGCCAGCTCTCTGGCTCTCCCTTGCATCTTCTTAACCCCCCACCTAACCAATCTGCAACTTTCTAAATCCAATCAACAAATCCTAGATGGTGTAGTGATTACACGCTGGCTGCAATCTTCCTGGTCAACAACTCAAAGACACCAGCAGCTCTCTGGGTTTTCTATTCTCATAACCAGTTACAGCCTCCTCCATAGACAGTGGGAGAGGGAGGAGCTGTGATTGTGCTGTCAACCAGGAGGGGGCAGTTCACAGGCTGCCCTGCCCATGGGGGATGACATTACCCCCAAGAGTTACTGCACTGGATGACATCAACACAAGTGACACCAGTTA